ACTGCGCCATCGTCGCCGTCGTCGTCGAGCAGTGACGATGCCAGCATGGCCGACGACAGCGAGCCCGACGACAGCGACGACGAAGACACGGGCAAGCTGCGCAACGAAATCGAGGCGGCGCTCAAGCGCGACGAGCAGACGAGCTTGATCGCTGGTCCCGTAGCGACAGTGCACGAGGTGCAGAAGGTACCTGTGAAGAAGGCCGACGTGCAGCTCACGTCCGACTGTCCCATCGACCGCATGGGCTACGTGCTCAACATCAACCGCGCGGGTCCGTCGATTACGATCCAGGGACACCCACACCAAGCCATCTTGGACGAAGGCAGTGTCTTGTGTCTCCAGAGCCGCGTCGTCCTCGGCTGCGTCGACGAGGTCTTTGGCCAGGTCAAGCTGCCCATGTACCTCATTCGCTTCGAGAAGCCCGAAGACATTCCCGAGTCTGTCGCGCTCCAGGCCGCTGTCTTCTACACGACGCAGCACGCGACGTACGTGGAGACATCCAAGCTCAACGTCAAGGGCACGGACGCCTCCAACTTGTACGACGAAGAAGTCGGCGCCGAGGAAATGGAGTTTTCCGACGACGAGGCAGAGGCGGAAGCCCGACGCAAGCTCAAGGCGACCAAGCGCAAGCACAACCCGGATGCTGCGCCCAAGGTGCGGCCTCAGCAACCGCATGGCGGCGGCCGGGGTCCCCATGGCCATCCCCACCAAGGACCTCCTGGCCACCCCCACCAAGGACCTCCGGGTCACCCCCACCAAGGACCGCCGCGGCCTCATTTTTACCCGCCGCAGTTCCCGCCGCACCCGCACCACCCGCAGTTTCCGCCGCACCACCACCACCACGCGCCTCCGCCGGGATACTTTTGAGCAGCCGCCGCGCGGATATTTTGAACAGCCACCGCCAGGGTACGGGTACCCGCCCCAGGGCGGAGGCTACCCGGGCCCGCACCATCATCATCCGCAAGGCCCTCCCCGCCACCACCATCAAGGCCCACCTCCACACAACATGCCGCCGCACCATCACCCTGGGCCGTTCCCGGGTCCTCCCGGGCACCCGATGCACCCCGACCAGCCGCAGCACCCCAGTCCGTGGCACCAACAAGGCCCGCCGCCGCCGTACTTCCAGCAATACCCGCCCCGTCCGCCGCCGCAGGACGACCCGTACCATTACCGCAACTAGACTAAAATGTGGGCTTATATAAATCACCTCGATCACATGCATACTGTCTGTTGTTAGCGTTGGCGGAACAACGTCGCCAACGTCACGCTCGCAATCGCGCCGTTCTGGAGCACCTACGACACCGCGTCGAGCCCAACCCTTCGCAGGAAAGCAAACCTCGAGGACGCAGCCAGGAAAGAGCGTGTACAAGAAGGAAGCGCCAAAGGGGTCGGCGGCCGACCCATTGTCGTGCACGGTCGGGCGAAACACAGCGTCGAGACCCATCGCACTCTGGATCGTCGACCACTACGAGTCGCAGTAGGACGAGGGCTCGGCTCGTGTTGTACGAGGTACCGAGGTCTGCGGCGTCAGCGTCGGAAACGCCGGGTCGGCCGAGAGCTGCTCGAGGCGAAAGTTGCATTTCGAGTACGCAGTGAACTCCGAGTGCCTTGTCACTGGTAAGATTCTATAGGAAGGAGAATAGAATACCCGGGGACGTTGGTGCGCAGAATGACTTTGGCGACCGTGTGCTCGGGCGTAAAGAGCAGGTCGAGGCCGAGGTCCGGGTAGTTTTGAAAGTACTCGCCCGTCACGCTATATCTCCGAGTCAGTCGTCTCCACGACCGTGTCCTGAGAGACTCTACGTGGCGTGTTCCAGCACCGTCTTGTAGTACGTCGAGAAAGGCGGTCCTAGCTCGCTCGCAACATCCTAATCTCACTTCAAACCCATGCTTGGCGCCGGGCGTCGTACCTGCGGTGTCGCACCGAGGTGGACGGTGCGCTTGCTCTTTGTGAAGAGTAGCACGGGGGGCTCGTTTGCCGCGCCTCGAACGACGACCTCCTCAAAGTACAACCTAGCGTGATAAGGTCCGTCCTGCGCGGCCGATGCGCGGATCGTACGGCTTGAGGGGCAGCGGTGGCTCGGGCGCCGAGCTGTCTGAGCCACCAAAGATCGAAAAGCCGATCGCAGCTGGCGTCGCGCCGTTCTGTCAACACTTCGATATAAGCATGTTGACTTGATGATCCTCGCACCGGCAACTCCATCGGCAGCGCATCCTTTGTCGCGTACATGGCCTTGTACTGCGATGGAATCGGGAAGAGGAAGCTCGCGCCCGGGTAGCCCAGCGCGTAGACCTGTTGCGTGCATTGACGCGCAGTACTGCAAAGAAGAAGAAGTACGCTAGTGGTGGCGTCAAAGCTGCCAGGGTACGTCGGGCCAAAGAGCTGCATGGCGCCGCGTGAGCATGACGAGGTTGAGTGCAGCTACCTGGTAGATGGAGAGGAAGGTCGGCGACCGGTCCTTCCCAAATACGAGTTCGCTGTGGTAGCGCATCGCGACGAGGTTCACGGCGTAGACCTCGATCGCAATGAGGAGCTGCGTGACCGCGTCAAAGGTAAACTACTTGCACGCATGAGACGACGTCAGCGACGGCGCTGCGTGCTTACCTTGACGCCATCTTCGGGCGAGTCGATGACTATCGCCATCGCGAATGGCGCGTCCTCGCAGTAGACGATCTACATTGGCATGTAGTGCCATGCCGCCGATCCATCGGTCACACCTCGATGGCCCGGCATGGCGTTCTCTTCTACGGATCCATGAGGCGAGGGCCATGAGGCTGCATAAGATCGTACCTTGAGGAGGAGGAGGACGTCTGCGACTGTGGCGCCGAGGCTGAACGGCCCGAGCTTCTTCCCCGGCGCGATCTCCCACACTTCGTCTGCCATCGCAAGATGCGTTCTGTCCGGATATGTAGAGAGTCGAACCTGGGCCGCGCGACTCTCGGCGCACATTTCTACTAGACATTTAATTCGTGCACTCGAAGCGCGTGAACTTAAACCGACTACATCCGGATGCCAAACGATCTTTGAAAATCACTCTAAGCTCACTTGGCTCGCTTCTTGCATCAATGAGCTCACGAGACCGCTTGTCAAAGCCGTCAACAGCGGTCAAGACAGCGAGCAGCAAGTCCGCGTCGCAGAAGGCAGCAAGCGACGTCTACCCAAGAGCTTTGGTGACCATGGCGTCGCCAGCAGGTCGTAGGAGGCAGACGAGAGAGACAAGGAATAATAATAGCACAGGGTGTTCATTGATGGAAGAATTAGTACTCTTGCAAGGTCAGGCGAGGCGCAATGTTCATCGCTTGCAGCTCCTGGAACAATAATTTACACGCATACGGGATGCGGATCTCGACCACCTTCTCTTCCGACTTGCAGTACTGGCACCAGCCTTCGTAGCCCAGCATTTGGCAGCCCTGGCACACGTTGGCCGTGAACGCGTCCGAACTCAGCATGAGTCGCTCCAGCAGAAGCATGCTCGCGCCGTAGCCGATCAGACAATCGCGCTCCATCTCGCCGAGACGCAGACCACCATCGCGGGCGCGACCTTCCGTGGGCTGCCGCGTGAGGACTGCGCGGGGGCCACGCGCACGGGCGTGCATCTTGTCCATGACCATGTGCTTGAGCTTTTGGTAGTAAATAGGGCCCATGAAGATGTAGCACAGGATCGGCTCGCCCGTGACGCCCGACGTCAAGTAGTCCTTGCCGGCGTAGTTGAAGCCGTGGCCGACGAGTTCGCGCGAGCAGTCAAGCACCTTGTCGGCGCTGCCATAGTCTTCGCCAAAGGCCGTGCCGTATGCGCGCCGGCCGCTGAGGACGCCGGCCTTGCCGGCCACAAGCTCGATCATCTTGCCGACCGTCATGCGACTCGGGAAACCGTGCGGGTTCATGATGAGGTCCGGGCACATACCAATGTCGTTGAAGGGCATGTCCTCCTAATAGCGACGGCGTCATGAGCATGCGTTCATCAAGGAATGTTGTAAAACGAATAAAATACAAGAAATGTCGACCTCGAGCAGCCACGCCGCGCCGTTGCTATGGAGAGCAAGCAGCAGCGCGACATGGCTCAAGTGCGAGGCCGGAAACATTGCTCTGTCGCGGGGCAACTATCGATGGCCAAGCGAAGGGTGGTCGTCGACTTTTAATCCGCGAAAATGCACAAATATATACAAGGAGGAAATGTGGCAGAGAGACAGGTCATCCGCAAGACACGGCAGTCCAGGGATGGTTTAAAGTTGCCAACTCATTTTTCCGACGTCCGACTGAAGACGACCGAGTGTAAAAGCAGTCGCCCCCAATATAAAACGTCGGTAGAAATAAATATACAAACTAAAGACGAATGTAGCGCAGAGACAGGTCAATGGCAGCCCACGGAGAGAGTCGCATTGGTTTAGATTCGCTAATCGATTTCCCGCTACATATCCTTCGCACCGCCATGGTACTAGGCGGTGCTACTTTGGATATCGGCGAAGACACGCAAATGCATACAAAGACAGTTCACTAGCAGAGGAAATGTGGCAGAGAGACAGGTCATCCGCGGGACACGGCAGTCAAGGGATGGTTTAAAGTTGCCAAATTGGTTTTCCGACGTCCGACTGAAGACGACCGAGTGTAAAAGCAGTCGTCCCCAATATAAAACGTCGGTAGAAAAAAATGCAAGACAGACAGACAGACAGACGCAGACACGCAACATACCTGTTGGCGAATGGTACCGCAGACACCCTTCTGACCGTGGCGACTGGAAAACTTGTCGCCGATCTCGGGCCGGCGCGTTTGGCGAATGAGCACCTTGATGAGGAACTGGTCCGACTCGGACGACGTGAGCATGACCTTGTCGATGTAGCCCGGCACCGAGTTCTTGTATGAGACAGGCGACGGCTTGTACGACACGTCCGGCGTCTCGGTCGTCAAGTCGACGTTGGCGGGCGACTCCTTGTTGATGAGGATGCCGCTCGAGACCACTTGGCCACCGACGCGGCAAATGCCGTCCGCGTCAAGCGACGCGTAGCGCTGGTTGCGGAACGAGGTCGCGAAGCCGGCGCCTTCAAAGTCGGGCGGTCCGACGATGCGGTCGTACGTGTTGTTCGGGTACCGCTTGACGATCGTCTGGTACTTCTTGAACACCATGCAGCGCCCAAAGCCGCGGTCGAGCGACGCCTTGTTGAGCACGATGGCATCTTCAATGTCATAGCCAGAGTAACTCATGACGGCGACCGTCGCGTTCTGGCCCGCGGGCACTTGGTCGAAGTTGACCAAGTCCAAGACGCGCGTCTTGACCATCGGCGCTTGAGGGTACACCATCGTGTAGAGCAGCGTGTCGATGCGCTCGTACTGGTTCATGCCGATCGTGCCGATGGCCTGCTTGCCCATGGCGCACTGGTACGTGTTGCGCGGCGACTGGTTGTGGTGCGGGTAAGGAATGAGCCCCGAGACGACGCCGAGGATCGTGACCGGATCGATCTCGAGGTGCGTCGTCTTGGCGTCAATGTCGCGTTCGTGCAACGCGATGAGGCAGTTGTTCTCTTCGTTCACGTCCACGTACTCGACAACACCCTCCTTGATGAGCGACGAGATCGGCCGCACGCCGGCCTGGAGCTCGTTCAGCTGGCGCTGCGTGAGCAGTGGGCGGTGCGTCTTGGGGTCCAGAAGCAGCAGCGGGCGGCAGACGCGGCCGCCGTCCGACGCAATGTACACGACACGTTGCACGTCGTGGATCATGACCGACACAAACTCGCCGAGGAGACCGGCGCGGCGAATGCGACGGAGGCGCGACACAAACAGCTTCGGGTTGACGTGCGTGCCAATGATGATACCGTTGAGCATGACGAGGTACGTGGTCGGGTGGTTGATCTCTTCGCCCGACGAGAGACACACGTCGTTGACACCCAGGTCAAAGCAGAGGCGGCGGATCGGCTCGGGCTCTTCGTCCGACGTCACGTGGCAGAGCAGCGCAAGGTTCTTGACGAGACCGCAGGCTTCGCCTTCGGGCGTGTCGGCCGGGCACAGCATGCCCCACTGCGACGGCTGCAGCGAGCGCGGCCCCGACACCTTGCGCGTCTTCTCAAACTGCGACGAGATGCGCGTCATCATACCAGCGCCGACATGAACGAGAGCCGCGAGAGCACGTGCGTGACGCCCGACCGGTCCATGCGGAAGCGCTTGAGCGTCCAGTTGCCCGTTGAGAGGCAGTGGATGAAGCCGTACGTGATCGTGTCGGTGCGGATGCACTTGAGGATATCAAAGGCCGCCGCGCGGTTGGGCTTGTTGAGCACCATGTCGGCCTGGCGCTTGAGGTCGCTGTTGAACTTCTTGAAGAGGTCTTCAAACAAGAGCGAGAGCAATTGGCCCGCGAGCTCGAGACGCTTGTTGCCGTAGTAGTCCTTGTCGTCGAGCTGCGTGCGGTCCTTGTCCGTGAAGATGATGCGACGCACAATGTGGGCCACGTAGATGCACTTCATGCGAAAGTTGAAGTTCTCGCACGGGATGTGGTTGAGCACGTTTGCGAGCCCATCGAGCGCCGCGTCGAGCGGGTTGGCGCCCGTCCGCAGCTTCATCTTGGTCGCAATGTACTGCAGCGCCTGCGTCTGCGTGAAGATCTTGAGGTCCGACGACTCCTCGATCGACGCTGCAAAGTGGTCCATGACATCCGGCTCGTGCCCGATGAGCGACACGATCTCTTGGTCGGACGTCATGCCCATGCCGCGAAAGACGACCACGATCGGGAGGTCGTCCGTGAACGAGTTGGACTTGAGGTAGATCTTGCCCTTGTTAAGGAAGATGTTGGTGCGCGACTTGCGCTCGTGCGTCGACGACGTGATGGACGCGCACACGTTCTTCTTGCCGTCTTCCTCGAGGATCACGCGGTTCTTCGAGAGCTGTTCGTGAATGAGCACGACCTTCTCCGTGCCCTTCACGACAAAGTAACCACCCGGGTCGTACGGGCACTCCTTCAGCGCCGCGAGCTCGGCCTCGCCCTTCTCCTTGAGCACGCACTTGGCCGACCGCAGCATGATCGGGATGCGGCCGATCGTCACCTTGTTGCGCGTCACGACCTTGGTGCCGAGGCGGTACTTGACCGAGACGTAGATCGGCGCCGAGTAGGTGCGGTCGCGGAGGCGGCACTGGTGCGGCGTGACCGGCGTCGTCAGGTACGCGTCCTCGTCGATCGAGGGCGTGCCGACCGAGATGTCCGTGTACGTGAGGAAGAACTTTGGATCGTGGTCCGACCGGATCGTGTTGTTGGCCTGCGCGCGCACGATCTTCTTCATGTCGACCTCGGTGAAGTAGTCGAACGAGTCAATGTGCTGCTTGACGAGGCCGCGCAGCTGCAGAAAGTACGGCAGTAGCTGCCACTTGTTCTGCACGTGGCCGACCTCGTCCTCGAGGCCCGCGCCCGGCGCCGCCGTCGGGGGCACGTCTGGCTCGGGCTTCACGGTCGGCTCCCGCTTCAACGCGGCAGTCCGGCCCATGATGCTTCGACACCGGTCGTTGGCAACTGGCCCACCACTCGATCCGATTCGAAGATCCTCAGGCCTTTTGACCAATCATCTCGTCGCATCACACGATTCGTGGAATCGCGCGGGCTTCGCGGGCATTTTGGCCAATCAGCGTGCGCCAGCTTATGGTGTCTAAGCGCACGCCACCAGCAGACCCGCGCAAATGGGTCCTTGCACGGCTAGCGCATGCGCAAACGTTCGTAAGGGAATACCAACCATGCCATTGGGATACGGGAGGAGGCCGTCGATGGAATTGCAAAGGCAGAATGGGCGAGACGCTATCGTATCGCTTCAACGTGTGCGGTCCATATGTAGTCTGCGGTTAAACGCACGCAACTTTTGAAACGTGCGATGGCGGAGGTGGACGCGCCCGCCGCCAAGAAGGCCAAACTGGAGGCGAGCTGCAGCGCCAACGACTGCATCACCATGCGCATTGGTACTACTTGAAGAAGCATCATGCCACATGACCTCTAATGGCCATCTATCGTATTAGTGCGTAGCGCGGACGAGCTTATGGCGCGAGATGGCCCGACCTTCCATCCCGCCTTCACGTACCACGCGTTTGGCAAGGACGAGCTCATCTATGGCTACACGGGTCTGCGCATCGAGCTCACCTTTGCCGCGCAGACGTTTGACTGTCTCGTCGAGATTCAGTACGACTCGCAAGACGACGAGTAGGCGCTTGTGCGACATAGCCTTCTCGCTGAACCCGCATCGAATAGCGCGTGGGATCTCTTTGCCAAGATGCAGTCCTCTCTACCAAGCGGCGCCACGCAGGACAAAGCGACATTTCTGAAAAGCCTCGCCGATAGCGCCTCGTACCCGCCGCCGGGCGCTCTCGTCTCGAGCTATCGCCACAACGAGCAAGCCTTTGAGACGTACTACTCACCGCTCGACGCCCGCGGACAAGCCTACTTGGACAAGATGCAAAAGCTGTCGCTTTGGTTCATCGAAGGTCGTCCGCCTCTTGCAGCAGCCATGGCGCTGACGATGTACGTAGGGGCCGACGACATTGATGTCTCGGACGCGCGTTGGTCCCTCTACACGATGCTGCACAAGCGCGGCGATGACGACTATACGCCTCTCGGGTACATAACGATGTTCACCTTCAACCTGCCGCAGCGCGCAATGATGACGTCCAAGCGTATCTGCCAAGTGCTCGTCTTGCCGCCATACCAACGCCAAGGTCCTTCATTTCGGCCTACCTATCGTGCTCAGCCGACCTATTAGGGCACGGCGAGCGACTTGTGGCGCACATCATGGCGGAAGCAAGGGCGAGCGACTCGATTCACGAGATCACCGTCGAAGATCCCGTGCCCGGATTTGCTCGGGTATGATGAGCATAAGCACAACGACAGCGGACTAAGCTCGATTGAGTAGCTCCGAGATGTGGTCGACATCAAGACGTGCTTGGCGCACGGCTTTTTTGCGAGTGCTGCGGCGTTGGGGCTTGGAACAAGCACGCAGAAATGCACACCCGCCGACATTGCGCACGTCAAGAAGGTACATACTGGCGGACCATCGCGCACGGTGCTCATGCATAGCAGGCGCTCAAGCTCACCAAGCTCCAAGTGCAGCGCTGCTACGAGATGCTCAAGCTGCGGCATGTGGACCGATCGAACGAGGACGCGTACAAGGCGTTCCGAATCGAGGTCAAGCGCCGCCTCCACACGCAGCATGCCGAGGACCTCGAGGCCGCGTCCAGTGCCGATCGCAAGAAGGCGCTGCTCGCCAACCTCTATGCCGACCTCGAGGCAGAGTACGACGCTGTCTTGGCGCGCGCCAAGCTGCTTTAGTCTCTTCCAGCATGTTAATCGCGCTGCCACATCCAGTGGTCGCAAGAAGAACTCACAATCATGACGCGGACCATTCCTTCGCTCTATATGTGCTCGCAGTCGAGTCGCGCTAGCTACGTTGTCCTGCGCGGGGCACGACCGTCATCGCGAGCTTGGCGGGCTTGTACGTGAGTCCTGCCATCTTGGCGTGCGTGTTGGCAGACGCGTCGAGGCGAAAGTCGTACGTCGCCAGCGCGTGCGTGAGCACCACGAGCATCTCGGCGATTGCAAACCGGCTGCCAATGCAGCTTCGGGGTCCTATTCCATCGATCAGTCGAAAAGCCCGCAGCGTCGAGCGCACCGTTGCTGAACGGAAGGAAGAAATACGTGCTGCTGCGGCCGCGCTGCAGCGCCTTGTCGGCCGTAAAGAGCGCCGAGCCCTCGACGAAGCGTTCTACACACCCAGTTTCATCTCTTGCTAGGCACGTGCACCGCGTACCTGGTAGAAAATCGTCCGGACGAGTCCAGTACTGCGGATTGCGGTGCGTTGCGCCAATGTGCAAAGTGATGCGCGAGCCCTAGCGTGCCACGTCAGCAACCATACAATAGAGATGTAATAGGACCCCGGGAAGAAAGAAGGGCTCGGCGTCCACGAGGGGCACGAGATCGTCTGCAAGGCACTGCAGCGTGAGAAGGCCGGCGGTGGGCTGCAGCCGCTGCGTCTCGTTCATGACCGCCTTGAGGTACTTGAGCTCGCCGAGGTCGTCCCACGAGAGTCCGTCGTCGCCGGCCTTGGCAAGGACGCGGCGGCACTCGTCAGCGACGGCCGCTGCCACCGCCGGATGCTGCGCCAGCAACGCCAGCACCCACGCCAGCGACGTACTTGTCGTCTAGACATGTCGATTGAGGATCGTTGG